CCTTCATTTCCTACAGTGCTCAAGAGGAGCCTTGGGTCCTGGAAGAACTTGTGCCCAAACTTGAGGGTCAACATGGCTTGAGATTGTGCCTTCATCACCGAGACTTCCAGCCAGGAAAGGCCATTATCGACAACATCATGGACGCAATATACAACAGCCGCAAAACCGTCTGCCTGATCACACACAACTACCTGAAGAGCGTTTGGTGTTCGCATGAGATCCAGGTGCCCAGCTTCAGACTTTTCGATGAACAGAAAGACGTTTTGGTTCTAGTTTTCCTCAAGGATATTCCCACGCACCAGCTTTCGCCGTATTACCGAATGCGGAAGCTGGTGAAGAAACGGACGTATCTACGGCGCCCCAAACCTGGAGAAGATAATCGAGCATTCTGGCAGAAACTCAAAATGGCCATCGAGACTAAAGAGAACATGGAGGACAGACAGATTCTTTCTGGAAAAGATGAAGATCATGTTTAAAGATCAATGTAGCCTAAATTTCAGTGTAGAATTAATTATGCAAATGAAATGCTTCATGCAAAGACTGGTCTTCAAATATTTTGCAACTTTTTAGTCAACTGAGGATACCAGTTCCCATTCTAACTATTCTCTCCAATCTCGTGCAGGTCTGTTGAACAATAAAATACTACAAGTGTAAAATTTGTGGTTGCACAATATATCGAAACCGATATTGTGATACGGCTCAATGCAATAATCAAATTGCGAAGACTGTGATTTATTTAAATAAATATATGCACGTCGGGTTTTAGAGTGAAGATTGTGCTCATGATACAGTGTTTCAGCATCTCAGAGCGGCTTGGTTCATTTACTGATATTGGAGCCGCTGAAACGCTGTACCATGAGCTGCATACGTCTAAATGAACACAGTTCCGCGCTTCACTCTGAAAATGGCAGTGCATATATTTATTTGTTGGCAAGCAGCCAAAATAAATGGTTGATGGTTTAACATTTGAAGATGAAGAAATTTAGATGTAAATATTAGTATTGTAATTTTACAGCTGTAAAAATTAAATTATTTTTATTATTTTTATTAAATGCTAATTGTTTTTATTTCATTCCACAAAGGTATTATTGCAAAATATTTCTCATTTTGTTGAAGATTTTTTATTTAATATTAATCACAATAAAATTATAGTATTGTTTTATAGTGAAAAGAATGGAAATATGGCCTACGGAAAGTGGAAAGAGATTTTTTTAGTTAGTTAGAGTATACCCAGTTTTTTTACGTTTTTTTTTTTTTTGTAAGTTTTGTTCAAATCTAAGAGG